GAAATTGAATCCATTATCTAAAAAATTTTCCCACAAAGAAAAACCTAGGCCCAGAAGCCTTCACTGGTAAATTCTACCAAACATTTGAAGAAGAATTAACTAATCCTTCATAAACTATTAGAGAAAATACAAGAGAGGGGAGCACTTCCCAACTCATTCTATGGGGCCAATATTACACTACAAGTAAAACCAGACAAAGACATAAGAAAACTAAACTAGCAATCAATATCCCTTATGGATATAGATTCTAGCAACATATAAAAACATATAAAAAGGATTATATACCTTGGGGCATCTGGGTGGCTCAGTTGGTTAAGCTTCTGACTCTTGGTTTTGGCTCAGGTCATGATCTTGTGTCCGTGAGATTGAGCCCTGCATCTGGCTCTGTGCTCAGCAGGGAGTCTGCTCCTCTCCTCCTCCCTCTGCTGCTCCCCCCAATTATGTGCCCTCTCTCTCTCTCAAATAAAAAAAAAAGAATAAATATTTTAAAAAAAAGATTATATACCTTGACCAAGTGGTATTTATCCCAGGAATGCAAGGTTGTTTAACACATGAAGATTAATCAGTGTGATACACCATATTAATAGAATAAAGGACAAGGCCACATGATCATTTTAATAGGTACAGAAAAAGCATTTGACAAAATCCAACACTATTTCATGATAACAATACTCAACACAATAGGAGTAGAAGAGAACCTCCTCAGCTGATAAAGGCCATCTACCAAAAACCCACAGCTAACATCGTCATACTTAATGGTGAAAAACTGGATGCTTTCCAAGGTCAAGAAAAAGACAAGTATGTTCACTCTAGCCACTAGAGGTTCAAGCCAGGGCATTTTGGCAAGAAAAAAGATATAGAAGTCATTCAGATTGGTGGCGCCTGGGTGGCTCAGTCAATTGAGCTTCAGACTCTTGGTTTTGGCTCAGGTTATGATCTCAGGGTCAAGAGGTCCAGCTCCATGTTCAGGCTCCACACTCAGCAGGTAGTCTGCTTGAGATTCTCTCCCTCTCCCTCTGACCCTCCCCCGCCCACTTATGTGTGCTCACGCTCTCTCTAAAATAAATAAGTAATGGGATTCCTGGGTGGCTCAGTCGGTTAAGCGTCTGCCCTCAGCTTGGGTCATGGTCTCGGGGTCCTAGGATAGAGCCCCATGTCTGGCTCTCCTCTCAGCGGGGAGCCTGCTTCTCCCTCTCCCCTTGCCT